AGAAGAGAGAGAGGAGAGAGAGGAGAAGAAGAGAGAGAGGAGAAGAGAAGAGAGAGAGAGAAGAGAGAGAGAGGAGAAGAGAGAGAGAGAGGAGAGAGAGAGAGAGGAGAAGAGAGAGAGGAGAAGAGAGAGAGAGAGGAGAAGAGAGAGAGGAGAAGAGAGAGAGGAGAAGAGAGAGAGAAGAGAAGAGAGAGAGAGAGAGAGGAGAAGAGAGAGAGGAGAAGACGAGAAGAGAAGCCAGAGAGTGAGAACGTAGAGAGGAGAAGAGGAAGAGATGAGAGAGACGAGAGAGGAGAAGAGAGAGAGGAGAAGAGAAGAGAGAGAGGAGAAGAAGAGTAGAGGAGAAGAGAGAGGGAGAAGAGAATGATAGGAGACGGAAGAGGCAGAAGAGCGTAAGAGAAGAAGATACGGGAGAGAGAGGAGAAGGAAGATAGGAGAGAGGAGAAGAGAGAGAGGAGAAGAGAGAGGAGGAGAAGAGAAGAGGAGAAGAGAAGAGAGAGAGGAGAAGAGAGAGAGGAGAAGAGAGAGAGGAGAAGAGAGAGAGGAGAAGAGAGAGAGGAGGATTAACATGCTATTCTTTAGCTTAAGGAGGTTCCTAACTGAGTGAAATGACCCAGGCGTACTTTAGTGGCAGCCATGGTAGGAGCAGTTCAAATTATCTAGATCAGGGGTTTTCAAAGTGTGTGAGCCTCCCCTCAGAGAACATAAGAACAGCCGCGCCCCCCCTCCCAATTATTATTGCTATTATTATTATTATTGTTGTTGTTGCTATAATGCAGGGGTATTATTATCCAGTGGAATGCCCTTACCTACTGGCCTAGTTCAATCAAAGTGGTTACTTTTTTTTGGCTGGGCAGTGTAGTTTTTACACACCGTCTTACGAGTCATCCGTGAGCAGAGCATCAAGTTGGCATGCCTATTACAGCTGAATGCGGTGATTACCATGTTGTTCAGCAAAATGCCTCAAACTTATTAAGATCAACAGCTTCAGTGCGTTTTGATTCAATGCTGAGTACAGCCAAACTTGACAGTCTCTTCTCTGTCACTGTAGACCGCAAATACCTCATTCCTTCCGTCTACTTGGGTCCGAATGCGCCGTCCCGTTCAAATGAAATCGCCGCCAATCACATTTCCTCGCTCGCGCCAGGGCCGGGGGAGGGGTTACAAGGCTCACGTCTTGTGCTGCATTCACTTGCACTCGGACATTAGGGATTTTCTCTCATAAATGTCCGATGAGCCACAACTTTTATTTCAAAGCAAAGCTGCCAACTGGGTTGGCAAGGCTATTTTTAGAGTGGTAGTTGCCACCCCGGTAGATCCGCCCCTGCTTGACCGGTACTTGATTTTGATCAAAGTCAATGTGGAAAACCCGCACTCACACAGGCAGGTGGAGGTGACAGCCTTTTTGGCGAGGTGGGGGAACTCGGTCTCCACAGACAACCAAAAGTGTGCAAGTGACGTTTTCTGCCAAACGCTGTCTCCTCTTTCACTGTTTCTTGTTATTTTGTTCTCACGCTGCGCCTCCCCTGAAGCTCTCTGGCGCCCCCCAGGGGAGGCGCGCCTCACACTTTGAAAACCGCTGATCTAGATGATAAGGAAAGGAGCTTGAATGCTTCCTTTGTCATCTCCTTCAGCATAGGATATACAAACCGTCCTTTACAAAAAGGATAGATGAGGCTGTCCCATCCTTCACTTGATAGAAACTCACATTTTGGCGTTCATGAAAACAACTGCTTATCACGACCATCAAACACAGGTTTTGTAAATAACTTATTAAGCTCTGAATGCAACACTATTTTCTGTTGTGAAATGATCAAAATAAAGTCAACATTTGAAGACGTTTCCTGAGTTGTGTGGAGTTTCTTGAGCTTATTTGTGCTTAAACCCTGAGAGATGGTTACCTCCTGGTTGGGGGAGTTGTCGGTCTTCAGCTCCTTGTGGTTAGAGAACTGGATGTAGACCGGGTGGTGCCTGATGATGGGCACCAGTGTGGAGTAATATCCCACCATGTTCTGAGCCGCTTCCTCCGAGTTCATCTCTAAGAAGGCCTGAAGAGGGGACAGGAGAGGTGAGTATGGTAACGGAAGTGTAAAATAATAATACTGCGGACCCTGCTGAGCTTAGGGACCCCACTCTACCAGATATATTGTAATGCTATGTAATAGAGCTGCTCGATTAAAGCCAAAACCACAATTATTTTGATCAGTATTGAGATCACTGTTATTCATCATAAACCAAATTATCCAAATAAACAAAGCACTTCTTTTTACTTCCATGTCGTGCTACAAAACTGTTGATGCACAAATGATTAGAAAACCTTCATCGCCATATTCCTTTTTCTGTGATAATGATTGCAATATTAATGGAACATTCCCCCTACATTGTGTAAACTCAGCATGTTCTGCATTTTGAAGGCAACATAATGAAGCTAGATTAAGAGGATATACAATGTGGGCTCTTTTAAACACTTACATTATAAAGACCTTGTTTATACATTAGATAATCTGTACATAAGTTGAAAAGACATCTCAAAGGGACACCGCAAAGAAATGCTTTTAAATCGCTTTAACACATATTTCAATTTTTAAAATGTGATTATTCCTGCAGCCCTAATATGTAAAATCCTTTTTTAAATATATGTTTGACGACAGTAGTTCCCAGTCAGCGTGCGTCACCTGGTTTTTTGCTTTGAGCATCAGCAGGTTGGTGACGTCTCCGAAGGGCAGACCGAGGCTGATGACCTCGGCCTCACTGATGTCAGTCGGGAGCTTTCGGATGTGGATGACCCTGGACGGCACGCCGGGGCCTCTTATGTCGCCTTTGAACTTCTTACTGTCGTTGCCATTGGCTACAGAGGAAAGGAAACAACAGCAAGTCAAGACATTACATTTCACTTGTTAGACGCTTTTATCCAAAGCGACTTACATACATTCAGTACTGTGGACAATCCCCACAGGAGCCATTTGGGGTGAAGTGTCTCAGGGACACAACGACATGCTGACTGCAGTGGGACTCGAACTTGCTACCCCCTGATTCGAAGTTCAGCGCACTACCCACTGAGCCACAGCCTCCCAAGACAAATTCACAACAGAAACACTGATGACACACCAGCATTGATTGGTTGAATCCATTCTGATTCTTCTACTACTCTTAATACGATACCTTTTATCACTGAGCACATTTGAAAGAAATTGCAATTTGTATACAACAAAAAAACACTAAGTGATGTATCTGACCTGTGGTGCTCATGATATACGGGGCGCTGGAGACGCTGGGGAAAAGCTCTTCAGATCCTCTCTGAAAAACATCAAAACAAACACCTAATGTTAATCATCCTCTGTTTATTAACACATTACAATTATTCTAAATAAACATTAATAATAAAGACATTCTAGCGAACTAGCCGTCAGGAAAACTGTTCTTTTTTTGAACACTTTACATTTTAACAAAGCTGCGGTTCTGATAAACTAGAGCCTCAGTTTAATCTAAGGATGCTAATAAGCATGCAGGATACGTTAATAGTAAATGTTTGGTCGGTAAAATGTCAGAAAATATAAAAATGTGTTCTTAACAAATTGTTAGATGAGATATTTGGTTTATTATCACACAAAACTAAAAGCAGGACATCTCCACATTTTAGAGGGAGGTGTCGATTCCATTTCACCTTTAAAGAATGTCTGTTTTATTTAAGTAAGTGATTATCAAAAGGTTTTTTTGGAGGATTTTCTGCTTTTTAGTTAGAAGTTAAAAGTGAAATAGTGGCACAAGCATGCTGCTGCCACCAGAGGTCAGTAAAGAGCATCGTCTCACACTAACACATACTGTATATATTTAACACAACTGAGGTGAAACTGTCCTTTGTGTCATTTCAACCGTTAATATGAAACAGGTCAAACATCCGCTGTCATCCCCCCTTCTCAGACACACAAAGAGCAGTCGGGTGTGTGTGAGAGTACGAGTGTGTGCGTGTGTGTGTCAGGGGGGTGAATTCCTGTGTTGTGGAGCTCAATGAAAACCAGATGTAGACAAACCGGCTGAACCACATTCAACACACTGCAGTTGTTCTACTGTTTGTCACTGATGCATTTAACACTTCAGAATGATAAGCTCTGCTCAATGCTCGGGTTGGGGACAAAAAGGATTTCGACCAAATACAGTCAGTACTACAGAATACAGATTCACTTTCAAACAATTGTTGCCCAATGTAATATATAAGTACCTGAAATTGCATCTCGGAAGAAGAGTAACTTAATTTAGAGAGAGAGAGACCAGGCCTGAAGAGGGACACACAGGAAAAGTTAGAATGGCATCAACATGAAACCTTTTAATAACACGATTCCATTTTCTTTTTACAACATCAATGTTTTCGACCACCTTTTAAGTCACCTGAGAGTCATGTGGGTTAAAGAGTACCTGAAATGTTATGGAGACCTAGGGGAAACTACACCACGTAATACTACAGCTTGTTTGAGTCACAGTGAGGTTACACTTCTCTTTTGAGACTAGATATGGCCTTAGTTATGTGTGTTTTTGATAGTGTTCTTACAGGTTGCATTACAGTCAAGTCATGTCACTTTCTGACCTGTTCAAGCAGTTGTATTATAAGCTCTGCCTGTCTACTCAATATATCCACAAAACTAATGGCTATTCATCAAAAAACAAACTTACAATATTGTCGCTTTATCAATGTATGTGATAAGAAATATTGTAACATCTAATTTTCTCCATACAACCCCAGCCCTACGTCACTAGCAACGACAGCAACGTCTCGATGACACGACTCAGGATGGCTTTTCATTTTGGCTGACAGCATGGCGCTGCAACAGCCGCATTTTTGTTTATTTGAAAAGGTTCAGCATGCAGCAAGTCTCGCTATCTGTAAACACACAGCATTTGAAGTGTGCCCTTTCTCCTCCGTGCAACAAGTAAGCAAAAAAAGAAAGTTAGCATCATTTGTTGAGTGAGCCTGCACCACAGTCAATACAATCTATAGAACAGTTTTTAAAAATGTGCAATTTCTGGATATAGCACTTCTAGCTAATGTAGCTGAAGGATTCTTGCCTCTCTTCTGCATCAGATTAATGAAACGCAAAGTAAGAAAGCAGTGAATCAGATAATAAATGATAATTTCTGTTTGTGTCACAACAGTGATATTCACTAGACACTCTGCAGGAAGGTGTTGGACTCAAAATGAATGCAGTGAGGTACACACTTCGTCCTGCTGTGTGTGTCACTTCCATACAAAAACACAGGAGAGTTTGACATGATGCAAATACTGTGTTTCTTTAGATCAGAAGCAGCCTGGTTCTCTGAGAGGAACCCGAGCAGCACACATTTCTATCTGAACAAAAGCAGCTGAGATCTCCTTACAGAACCTGCCATGAATAATAGAGCAGAAACCTGAGTGCTGCTGTCCCTCTCTGGATCTGCTGTCGGACAGCTGCTGACTGACTGACCGGCTGCCTCAGGCTGAAGGAGGACAAAAGACACCGAGACAGACAGACAGCTAACAGTCTGTCAACCAGCGAACCACAACAAGATGACTGTTGATATAATGACTGAGGAGCTCTGTCTCAAAACTGCAGCAAGTTCATAACCTGAACTCACTTCTTTCCTTCTCCGTCTGCAAATCAAACTATAAGCTGAATCATTGAAATCGCAACAAGGACTAGTGCAACTTTGACATGGCATTAAGCGCAATATTTGGTAAAGATGAAAATCAAAATCATGTTAATATATTTTTGAATGTGAATAAGGTTACAAAAAGGATAATTTGCTCTAATATTGCAAGTCATTCTGCAATTACAATATCAGTGAAAATACATGCATTTGTTTGTTTTTAAAATGGTGCAGCCGTGGCTTATTTGGTTGTACATCTTCACGTTTCTGCAACTACAGGCTAGCGGCACGCATTTGTTTGTTCAGATATAACTGCACACAACTACTGATAAAAGACAAGAGCTTTAATTAAAAATGTAAAATAATCAATTCCTTTTTCACTAATAATATCTCAGTTTTTTTTAGTAGGACAGCCACTTTGTGAGAGAGTATTAAAAGGTAGGGTAGGTAAGAATGGAGAAACCAGCTCGAGTGCGCTAGAATTAGAAAATACACAACCGACAAAAATCTGCCCTTTCCTTCAGACTTCCTTACAGAGCCCCTCCTCCAACACACACGAACGCACACATGACCAATGAGGGCACGAGATAAGTTTGTGCACAGATGGAAGGCTGACAGGCAGGTAGGCCATCCAGTTATTTTAGCCGGGCCGGCTCAGATGATTGGTCGTGCTTTTTACAGAACTACGGCTTCCACAGATGAACTGTTTTTTATGTATTTATTGTCAAAGCATTTCATGTATTCATTGCTATCGGGATGTTAAGAGCATTCCATGGAATATAACAAAAAGTGTTTCTGAAGTGAATTACCTACCCTACCTTTAAACTGCAGCTTTGTGAAACTGCATTTGAGTTTATATTTGACCAAATTAATGAGTTTACAGCATAATTTGATGTTGTTTTATAGGGATACGTTTGATGTTCTTAACCATTAACCGAGAGATTACATTAAAAGGTGATAAAGGACTACCTTGAGGTGATGTGAGACTCCTCCTTGGCTTTGAGGAGTTACACGTTTGGTCTACTGCAGTCCTCCAGTGACCCTCAATGACTTCACACCTATTCAACTAAATATTATGTCTATAGGCCCATGCAAATTCTGACAATCATGAAACATAACGTTTGTCTCTTATCGTCTTCTGCTTAAATTTGAAGAAAGAAAAAAGAACACGTACCAAAACCAGTTCTTAAACTGGATCCATTGAAGACCTTTTCGGTTTAGTTCAACAACTGGTGGTTTCTTTGGTTGTTTGATAAATTGATCAGACATGATTTTGGTTTGCTGGCATGCAGAGTCTGCGTGTCACAACTAGTGATTGCATGCATCTAAGAAGCTTTTATTGTGAGTAAATCATATCCTATCCGACCGCCTTCCTGCAGATAAGTCATTCAACATTTTCTCCTTTTCTATTAACAACTTTGTAGCATGATGATGGGTTTCAGTTCATAGAGCTCTCTTGACATCGCATGTCCTTCAATATGACTATTGCGCATGCACGGTTAATGTAGAGTAATTCTGACACGGCCTATATTTAAGTTTATTTCGATTTAAAAAGCACATATAGTCCTGCCAAAACACAGGTGTACAAGATGTCATGTTAATCGCACTTTCCCTCTTGCTACTCACGTTATTTCTTCATGTGTTTAACTTAATTAGGAAGACTTAATTAATATAACTTGACATGAATTATTATTCCAACAGACTATGGATTCTAGTGAGATGGGCGAGTGTAGCAACACTTCTTAACAAACTACAGGTAGTATAAACTCTGATCTGTCCCTTTAAGAGGATCCGTGTTCAGGATGGTTTCAGATGACTCGCTTGAGGCCAGAGGAGGAAACAGGAGAGCTGTACGTCCTCCTATCATTTCCTCCTCCTCCTCTTCACAGCTTCTCTCAACCTTCATGTGGTTTTGGCCCAGACTTTAAATTTAAAAAAAAGCGGCGGTCACCACGATGAAGCCGGACGCTGACCACCACAGTGAGAATGTGAAAAATGCTGCAGTTTCACATCCATGCACTCTTAACAGTGAGACTACTACTCTCCTACCTCCATCATAGGGATCCAACAATCATTTAAATAGGTCTATGTTAGATTACCACAAAGCCCCTAACAAGGAGAGAAACGTGGCTCTTGTTCCACCTTACATCACTACAGGTGTAACGGCACAAAGAACGACGTAAATGTAAATGCCAAAAATGTCCCTAAAAAGTGTATCCTCGTGGTTGGGGTTATAAAAAGTCGATGTGTTAATGAAACTAAAATGTGACAAAGTGCAGTCTGGAATAAGTGACGACAGACAGAGCATGTGACGTCAATGTCCAATGAAGCTTTGAAATTGTGTAAAAATGTACAAAACAATTGTATATAAACCTAGCCAATAAAGAGACACAACACTCCTTTCTGGAAACAAATCACTACATGAAGTCTTAACACTTTTGCAAAAGGCAACCGGTCACAGTTGGCTATAAAACTGCAAAAGCATTTCATAATTTTTGCTTTGTATTGTAATAAAGGTTTTCCTCCCACGTCACTGCGGCTTTACAAGCAATCATTCACTCCGATATTCATCTTCAAGCAGATGCTTCTTAAGGGGAGGATATCCTGTCCCCATGACTACAGAAAGACTTCTAATGTGAGACTGTTTTAAATATCATGTGTTTCTGTACTTCAGGTTCATAAAGGACACGCCCACCACATCAGAGTGATCAGCTGATTGGCTCTAATAAAACACTGGAGCAGTCAGACTGGTTCATAACTGAAGACACGTCACGGCTTAGATGTGAAGTCTGTTACATAAAACAAACACCTGACATTTCCTGTTTCCTCCTCTGACTTTCACACCGATGGATTTTATCTTGTTAACTCACAAACACTGGGTATTAAATGATTTCCTTCCTGCTTCAGTGAAATTGGAGACTCTGCTCTTAGACAGATACTACAGACAGTCAGTCAGTTTTGATGTTGCATGCGTATAAGAGCTGCAGATAACTCATTCATCTGCAGACCATTTTCTTCATTTATCAAGTGATTTATTGGTTTGGTCTGTCAGAAACAAAAATGTAGAAGTTGACTTAAAGTGGACCTATTATGCTATATTGGAAAACCTATTGTAGGGCCATACCTATACAAAACATGTCTGTGAAGTTTGCTTAAAATACCAAACAGACCCCCATTGTAGCCATGCCTCATACTGCTCATACCCCTCTTTTGCAGCCCTGTTAGAGAAACGCAGATTTTGGGTCCTTAGCTTGAAAAAAATTAAAATAAAAGAGGAGGCGGAGCTAATGCCTGATCAGAATTCTACCGGAGATAGTTAAATTCTGCTGTGATAAAACACCATCCTGTTCTAAACCACATCAACCATTTTCAACAATTTCCCAATTTGGGATCAATAAAGTACGATCTATCCATCTATCTATCAAGGATTATTTCTGAAACAGTATGGAGCTCAAATGCTTTTTCTCTTGCAGGTTTATCACAAGGTGAGTTCCTTTTTTTATGTCCTGCTTTTTAAACACATGTGCTCTACAGTACAGGTTAGCTCTGAGTGTTAGCGAGGCTTGCTAATGTAAACAAAGACGAGATTACGTCCAAAACACGTCAGGCATTGTTTCTGATAGCAACTCTCTGTGGGTCCGCCGCCGATTTGACG